CAATGTATTGCTGTGTTGTTGTATGTGTCCTAGTATTGTCTGAATAACCCCCTCAACAAAAAATTAAAACCAATAATCCAAACAAACCAAAACTATGTCTAACAACATGACTTACTAACAACAACAAAATCTAACAACAACCAGCAAACAAGTGATAGCAACAAATGATTTTTTCATAACACAAACTGCAGCAACAAAAACACAAAGTGAAAACAGCTTAAATTTTACTCTAGAAAAAAATCTTTATTTCAAAAAAAAATGTTTACCCAAGTTATTTACAAATCATCTAAAAATAGTGCCAAAACAAAATATGTTGTACCTGAAAATTGTAAAATTTGAAAGAAAATGTTAAAAGAAGGAAGAGCTAACAAAAACACAAAATGATTTTTAAATAGTGAAGTTGAAAAGGCAATTTTCCATTTGGATTCAACAAAAAACGCAACAGAAAACCAAAACACGAACACTACAAGCGTTACCAAACCAAAAAAAAAAACTTTTAAACCTCCCAAAATTCCTAGTCCTAGCCCACAGGCAGTAGTAGTAGTATCAGCAGTACATCCCCATAACCCATTGACGTCAAAAAATTCAATTTGTGCTCCATTAGAAATAAATCCCCTTAAAAGTCCTAACACTAACAGCCATAAGAACAACAACAACAACTGTAGCCGAAACTAAGCAAAAAAACAACGAGTAAAACTCAAAAAGGATATTTCACAAATTGCTTTGCAAACCATTTGCCAAGAAGACAGCGAGAAAAAATACCGAACACACATACACACACGCAGTTGTTATGGCGGGTCCACAAGTACAACGTCCAGCCAGCGCCTACTATACCGGTTTAAATGGTTCATCAAATGGTGGCCATCATGGCAACAATGCCAATGGTGGAGGAGGTGGGGCTGGTCCAGGCGGCGGAGGAGGTTTAGTGACCAGTACATCGCATCACACGGGATTGCACACCATACGCACCATATCACACGATAGTGAATTAATCTATCGCGGCAGTACAATAAATGCCTCGAATGGTACACATTTGACACAACATAACAGCAACAATAATGGAACAGGAGGCGGTGGTGGTGGTGGAGGCTCACACACATCTCTACACCACCACGAAACATGTACGGCAAGTACCAGTCGTTCCGTTATACAACAACAACCCGGACCCACCTCATCAATAGGTAGCATATCTGGTGGTGGCGGCATTGCCGGTGTCGCCGATAGTAGTACAATAAATATTGCCTCTATAGCTGGCACTGGCCAGAATCCTAGTGATGCTTTAATTGTTCCTGTGACAACAGCTTTGCAACAACACCAACAACAACAATCCTCAGTTTCAGCCGAACAGCAACATTCCTTTCAAGCTTCCAATCGTGACAAACAGCGTAGCATAGAAATTATCGTCGACGCCTCAAAGTGTGGCGATCTGAAGTCAAGTGAAGATGATGTGGAACAGGGTAAATCGAGACGTTCATCGCGGCATCGTCATCGACCGTTACATCGAAGACTGATGAACTATTTGAAGAGTTTCTTTCATCGAACTACCACACAAACTGGTAAGAAGATTTTTTTTGTAATTATGTTTTTTTTTGTCGTTTTGCTTTGTGTATTGGTGAATAACTAATTTAAGATGCTTAAGAATTAATCCTGAAGACTACATTTAGATATTAAATTTCAATTTGTTTTCCATAGGTCTTCTATGGTAGTTTAAACAAATATTTGTTAAATATTTTAAGTATTTTTATAGATCCATCTATGGTGTAATGTTTGCCAAAAATATTTTTCAAAGGAACATGCATGATAAACATTTGTATACCCTACATAATTATGTTGTCAGGGTATAATAGCTTTGGGTCTATACCCACATTTTAGTATACCGATCGTCATAGCTGGGTCGATCTCGACATGGGTGTCCATCCGTCTGTCCATTATAATTTGTAAACACGATACAGCACACAACTACTTACCAATCTACACGAAATTGTGCAGTTCCAGACCAGTTCTGGCCAAAGAAGACCACTATTGTTTTTGGAAATTATGGGATATTTTTTAGGGTATGAAATGGATCAAAAACTTTATTATACCCTACACAACTATGTTTTCAGGGTATTATAGCTTTGTACAGCCCCAAGAGATTGTAACACCGCGAAATATTGGTCCTAGACCCACCTTTAAGTATACCGATCGTCATATCTCGACTAGCTGAGTCGATCAGACATGTGTGTCCGTCCGTCTGTCCATTATAATTTGTAAACAAAATACAGGCCACAGTTATGGACCAATCTTCACGAAATTTTGGGTTCTGCCCAGAAGACCCCTATTGTTTTTGGTAAAGATCGGTTAATATTTAGGGGATGAAATGGACCAAATACTTAATTTTTGTCGGTTTTTATGGTCTCTCCAGAGACCGCAATTATGGCCCAAACATCGCGAATTTTTGCATGTAGAAGGGGATCGGGCCAAAAAATAAGCATGCCTGTTTTGATTAAGATCGGTCAATATTTAGCGGGTCAAATGTACCCTGACTTTTGTTTGAAAAATTACAAAATTTTTATTCTATAGCGTATATATCTACTGCTGATGGACATAGAGCCAAGAATTTGATAGTATATCCAAGAGGAGTGGTCACCTTTAAATTGATACCAATTATATGATCGTATGTACTCGGATGTGGGAGTTACACGTAAATATTTTCAGGGGCTTACGTATTCATATATTATTTAGTAATATATGACCACAATACAGGGGGGAAATATAGCGCTCATCTCTTTGAAATTTTCCTTGATGATCCAGGTATGGTCATGGACAACGCCTATAATTTTTTTGTATTTTTTCGAGTCGATCTATAGGCTACAAAACCGAAAATCACAACACACTGTGAAGTGAATCTGGACAAGTAATTAGAAGGGTTGTACAGAATATTGGGATATTCGGAAAATATGTCAATGTAAGGAAGAGGTGCTGTTGATCTCTAATCGGCCAAGAGGGTGCAAATATCAAATATTGATCAGGCTCGAAACAAACATACGCAAAATTTACAATTCTGTGGTAGTTGTGTAGGGTATCATCAGGGTCGGCCCCGTCCGACTATACTGCTCCGCTCACTGGTTTTTGCTGTTTTTCTGGGCGCTGCAGAGAAAGTAATTATTATTCGAACATAAAGAATTTGTATATGTATGACTGTTTTGATAAAGATCAGTCATTATTTAGCGGATCAAAAGGACCCTGACTTTTGTGCTAAAATGGCAAAATTTTCATTTTATTTCGTATAGATTGAGAGCATATCCAAGAGAAGTGGTTGACCTTTATATTGATACCTGTATGTCCTCATATGTGGGATATATACGTAAATATTAAAGGTTGTCTAAGTATACTGATATTTTTAGTACTACCATTGCCACACTAGAGGGCGTAATAGTCAGATTGTTCTCTATGAAGTTTTACATGAAGTTCTGATTATGGTCAAAGGCGAAACCTATAGTTTTCGGTAGTGATTATTTTTGTCTCTAACCGCTATAGAACAAGAGTCTGGGCAAGAGACTTATCTGTAGCCCGTTGTTTGATGATAATCGGTCAATATTTAGTCAAATGGACGAACAGATTTGTGTGTAAAGAGACAACATTTGCATATTATGACGTATATATCACTGCGGGAAGACATGACCCGGGAAAATTGTCAGTGAATAAATGAGGAATGGTTTACTTTCAATCTGATATCAAATATATGGATGTTACGTGCACTAATATGGACGATACACTAACATTTGTAGATGAGTATACATATTCTTGTATGATTACCATAATATGATACCAGAGAAAGTGAAAATCGGCAGATGGCTGTACTAATAGATTTCTCGTAAAATATCCATCAATCTATTTCAGATTTATGCCCCTTGGAAGGGTGACATTTCGCAGTACAAAAATTGTTTTGTTGTTTTTTGTTTGGTGCATTCAGTTATAAGTTACTGGGTGTTAAAAATGGAAGTGAACAAAGAGAAACTTCGGTACATTTTACTTTTTTTCAATCCAAGCCAAGTGGCTAAAATTGTGAATGGCGTGCCAATTATGTGCAATTTTGGTTTCGTAGATTCCGTTCACGAATTTTTGATGTTAAAGATGCACCTCGCACAAGTAGGCCGGTCGTCGAAAATTTCGATAAAATCGGAGAAATGATCGAAGTTGAGCGGCATGATAGCAGTCGTAACATCGCCCAGGAACTAAAAATCGACCATAACTGTTTTAGAACTTTTTTCAAGGACGTGAATGGTGTACATATGTAAAATCTATTAGATTTTTTAATTATTTTCTAAACCATGAATTTAAAAAAAAAGGTATTTTAAGGTTATCCATGCCGACCAATTAAAAAAAAATTATATACAAGTGTCTTCCGATTTTTTTAATTAAATAAAGATTTCTTTAAAAGGTATTACGTGATGTGGATATTTTAAAATTTATTTAAATTCTTCCAAGGCGTGGTTTTGTTATTTTTCTAAAAGTCTCCGAGAAATATTTTGGGGAAATATCTATAAATGTTTTAAGGCTTATTTTTTAATCCCTTCCACGGCGTATTTCTTTCAGTTATCATCAGACGCCTGGGTTTTTTAACATTTTTATACAACTTCTAACACGTAAATTTATTATTTCAAATTTCACGTCCAAATATTTATGAGTGACCCTATAAAGAGTGCACATTCTTGATCAGCAAAAAAATTCTATGAAGTTATAGCCATGTTCCTCTCTTTTTCAAATCACGACGGAGCTCGCATTAGAGCTTTGCATATATATTTCTACTTCTCCTAGGATGGAAACCATCGTTTTGGTGTAGATCCCTGTAACAGACTCATCTTATTTCATGATCTTAGCCACAATTTTCAGTACTTCGAGGATTTAGCCTGATTATCCAGCCGATGGGGATATTATTTGATATGCCATGTTTTTGGACGCTGTGCATATCCCCGTAGTAAGTACAAGTCCTTATTTGATGGTTTTAGCCGCATGTTCCACCAAAAGGTTTTAAGAAGCTGGGGTCATTGAAGCGTACATATTTTTATATAGCAATGGTTTGCTATAGCCTTCTTATAAAGTTCTGACCAATTTTTTGCATTTTAGCCTAATTTCTCCAGCGAAGTGACTGTAATTTAAAAAGCAAAATTTTCGTAGGTTATAGAATTGCAGAAGATTTTCGATATACATTTATGTTTTGAAATACCCGCAATATTAAGGGATATTTGTAAGGTTTGCCGCATTTTCCCTCCGAAATGGCTGTTATTTAGCTATTTCTAAGGGCTTGCTTTAAAAAAAAATTATTTCAAAATTATTATTAAATTTTTTTTTAATAGTTTTAGAATTTTTTACAAATATTTTTAAGGCCTAAAATTCTTCTAAAAATATCATTTTACTGACCTTCCAAGTCGTTGTTTTTTTTTAATTAGTTTTAAAGTGAGATATTCTTAAATCTAATTTTTTTAAAGATCTTCTAATACCTACTTTTTTTGACAAATCGATACGGACACTTAAGTTAAATTCCATAAGATAATGTGACAAAGACTTTCGTGGAGGCTGTTTCATAACTTGGACTAGTATTACAACATTTCTGCAAGGACTTTTTATTCTTTATTCTCCATTAAAAACCAAAATATCACATTAAAGAAAATGGAAAATGCGAAGGTCTATGACCTTCAAAATACCAAATCTTATGTGGATGTTTTATATACATCGAATTTAAATCGGAACATACGCACAATAGGAAATTGTACTTTATAGAGTCTGCAACGAATATTTCGAGATGTTGCAAACGGAATAGTTTCCTTATAGAGAAGCCTTAAAATCTACTGTTTTCGATCAAACTTTTTGTATATAATATGTAATATTTTTTGTGAATCGTACTGACCCCATCTACTATCACGATTAATATCATCAATATGATCGGAAGCCTTCATTGTATTTATTCCCACAACAACAAAATTCAGCAGTTTTCTAACAAATTTATGTATTTTTTCACCAATGCAAACGTAAATATTGGCTCCAGCATGTTCCATTTCATTAAAAATCCGCATACCTCGCCACACACACATACATACGTGTTTATTCTAAAATGCACACACTTTTGCAATGTATGGGAAAAAATAACATAAAATGCAAATATTGCAAGATTAATTGAACCAAAACATCTGTATGTTTAGAAAATACGCTATGTATGGTATTTGTACAATCCCGAGGTCCGAGGACAAAATACAAATAAATTTTTTGGCTCAATAGAACAACAGCACAAGTTATGGGAGTTACTAAACGATCTGATAAACAATGGCGATGGTGGTAGAAGCCCCAAAAGAGGCTCAAACACATGAGCATACATAAGTAGAATATTTGGTATTAGCAATATGTACAACGTAGTAGAGAGGAGAAGGAAGAGAGAGAAGGGGAAAGTGGACAAACTATGGTTAAACAAACAATACAATAGAGAAACGTTTAACAAATAAAATATTAGGGTGGAGAGCAAAATTGGAAAAGTATGGAGAAAATCCAAATTTCAAAACTATATCTAAAATGCAGTGTG